ATCTATCTATCTATCTATCTATTTATCATCTATGTATCTTTGTATCTATCTATCATCTATCTATCCATCTGTGTGTATCTCTTCATATATATATATATATATATATATATATATATATATATATATATGGATGAGAGAGAGGGAGAGAGGAAGGGAGGGATGGAGGAAGGGAGAGAGAGAGACCTGAATATGCAGGCACTGTGTTAAATTTTGAGGATACAAAATCGTACATAATAGAAAACTTTCTTTAGGGAGTTTATCACAGTTAAAAAAAGACAGACATGTAAACATATATGGACAAAAATGTTTAAGAGCTGTCAGTTATATTTATATGTCTCTTAAATATCAAAGTAGTTCAGCTCTTGGATGGCAGAACATTTTCCTGGCATGGGACCTTTTCCTATTTCTCCCACATTTGGCATCCAGAGATCTGCAAGCTGTTGAGTGTGCAGAGGCCTGCATAAGTGTAAGACTCACAGGAACATAGACTCCAAGGCTATACATGCAGAATGATAGGCACTGTATTTGGGTCAATTAAGTGTGCACTAGCTAATACATTGTGTGTGTATGTGTGTATGTATAAGAGAGATGGACAGACAGACTTGAGACAGAGAGGAGGAGGAAGAGATGCAGAGGGGACAGAGAGAAAGGGATGGAAGGAGAGAGAGATGTTCATTTGTTTAAAGATTGGAATAATGGCTGATAATTATAAGGACACTTGGAAAATTCAATCTATAAATCATAGCTATAAAATGAAAACAATGTTTCCTAAGTCTACAATAAAACTGTGTACCTCCTTCAGTTATGAAGCATCATCTCAGCCTTAAGAAATGGGCTCCTTATGTAATTCTCTATTATCATTTGCATGATTACAAAATTCTAATATGGGTATGAAAACTCAAAGTTGTTTTAACTATCTATTATACAGGAAGGTAGCATGACCTGGCAGAAAGAAACAGACAATAATTATTTGAATAAATGAAAGGAAATATGGAAAGAAAGACATAAGGGAAAACAGAAGGAAGGGCAACAAGATAGGGGTGAGGGAGAGGAATGGGTGATGGGGAACTAAAATTGAACATTTAAATCCCAGCTTTGACTTTATTAGCAAACTTGTTAAAATTTTTTATTTATTTTTATTACTATGCATTAATTGTACATTTTAATTAGTCAAGTAAACTTTGACTTTATTCTCTTAACCAGACCATGGAGCAATATATTTCAGGGTGATTGTGAGAACTAAAAATTACTTTTATAGTTATGCAAAATGAATAAGTAATGGCGGTCTACTGTGTAGCACAGTTTCTATATAGTTAACAACAATAACAATAATTGTACATTTATAAATATTCTTAGCACAGACATATACAATAACGGATTAAGAGGGCCAGGGGAATTTTTGGAGGTAATGGGTATGACACAGATTGTGGTAATGAAAGATGTATATATTATTATGTGCAATTTTTTGTATGTCAACCCTACATCACTAAAGTGGACTTAATAGGTACTTCATAAATTAATGCTGGTAATTCTTGAACTTAGATAAATGTTGCAGCTGTTACCACTTATTATCATTAGGAAATTATGTACAGCATTATTTTATGCATTTTCTTATGTAGTTATATGCACCAAACTTTACACATTGTAACAGTGTTTTGAGTATGGTCCCAAGTATGGGGGAAATTTAAAATTCTCCAAAATACATAATATACTATTTAAAAATGGCATGCTTCTCAATTGTGTCTCAGAAAATCTAAAAGAAAATGTTAGCGCTTTTATGTTTAACTGAAGGAAGCAAATATAACAAGCATCAAGCTCTTTAGTACTATTTAAACTAGACTGCACCTGAAGCCATAATATATTCAACTGCAAATGCAGATCTGAGGGTCATGATTAAAATAGCGAGCAACTAAGTTTTGAGCCACCAGGTCACTGAGTTTTCGTAGAAGCCAGACAACTATGAGGGAATGGAGACTAAAGAGGAATACTTACCGATAGGATCTGGTCTCCTCTCTGGAGCTCCCCACTCAGGTCTGCTGGTCCACCGGCTAGAATGAAGGAGACAAAAATACCTTCTCCGTCTTCTCCACCCACAATGTTGAAGCCCAGGCCAGTGGAGCCTTTGTGCAGGACTACCTTGCGGGGCTCCCTGCAGAAACAAGCGGAGAATAGAGCTCACGGGTGGCCCAAGATTTCCATTTCTTTACTCACACTAGAGTGTGACACTTGCCACTCCCTACCAGGATGAAAGCTTACCAAAGTAAGATACTATATAATTGCACATCAAGAAAGTGGCTAGTAGGGCTAGTGTTTCAGATCCTCACAGTAATAACTATCAAAGTACCACATAAAATTGCTCCTTAATTCTAAAATGTTTTCTTAAACTGGACTTCTGGCTACTTTTCTTGTTTGAAATAAATCTTTTGCATTGAGCACTCCAAATAGGATGGATATACCCTAATGGAGGGAGTAACTTTGGAGACAAGAGACTCCCTTGAATAGACTGGACCATGAACAATCTTAGATGCCAGGCTGTGGGTTTGTCGTTTGATTGTTTATTGTGATTTATTCTGTATTCCGTCAGTACTCATTGGAAGATTCTGAGGCATTAAGAATATTTAAATCTATTTTAGGAAGATTAACAAATGGGTATATGTAGGACAGATGAAGAGGAAAGTTAAGATACCATGGGAGGCAGGAAAATTATTTTGTTGCCCAAGTCATAGAAGTGTGAGGAAGCGACAGACTGCTCAAGGGTGACAACAGTGAGAATGAAATGAGAGGTCAAAATGTGAGGAGAGATTTGAAGGGAGAAACAGTGGTGCAGAGAATGACTCAGGGAGAAGAGAGAGAGAAGGGATGGCAAGGATGCTTATGAACAGGAGTGTGATCTGGACACGCTCAGCTCCAGGCAACAGTGGGATAGCTCTGTGGCTAAGGTCTGACACAGTTTAGGGCCAAAGATAAGTAAGTGAGTCTCCAGAGATAACCGCAAATGTAGACTTGAGGGTCATGATTAAAGCGGTGAGCAATCAAATCTTGAGCCACTGTCTCACTGAGTTTTTGTAGAGACAGTTATGGAGGTGTATAGTCATAAGGTATATAAAAGGTACGTGCATTGAATAAATGTAATCAGTAGTGTAAAACACATCTTAAGGCCGTAACTCTGGCCCGAGTGGCTTTTGTATCAACTTCCTTCTCCCTCAAACATCTCAGTTCCAGTTGCTGAAGCTCTTCTCTTATTTTCCTGCTTTCAGTGATGTAAGAATGATAAAGAGCCATCTAACATATTTTTATACTAATGATGCAGAATTTATTTGATACTACATTTACATGTATAAAGTAATGTGTTATATCTGTAGCTGTTCTTACTATGAGGAAAATATAAAAAGCACATTGGAGCTTACTATAAGAGCTACACAGTCGGAGGTAAATTGATCTAGGAGTTAATTTATTTTACTTTACCGATACTTTACAAGTATCCACTGTACTGTGAACTTTGCCAAGTGCTCAGAATTTTGCAAGTTAAACAAATATCCCTGCTCTCAGGGGCTTATAGACTAATGAGGGTAGATCATTACAGATAGTAATGATACATGTAGTAAATAAGGTTTATTATGTAATATGTTAGGAGGCTGTATTTTGGAAAAAATAGAAAGCAGAGCAGCTGTGACAGTAATCTTGATCATCAATTTGACTGGACTTATATCACCTAGCAGGGCCGGGGTTGTAGCTCAGAAGCACAGTGCCTGCCTGGCAAGTGCAAGGTCCTGAGTTTGATTACAGGTACCAAAAAATAAATAAATAAATAAAAAATAAAAAATAAAATAAAATACACCTAGCAGATTAGTAAAGTGTGTTTCTAGGTGTGTCTGTGGGGCATTTTCAGAGATGACTGGCATGCAGGCCAGCAAACTGAGCGGGGCAGACCCAGCCTCACTGTGGACAACACCGTCCAATAGCTTTGCAGCCTGGATGGAATGAGAAAAGATGCTGTCTGTGCCGACAAAGCTCTATTTTTCTTGAGGTGGGTCTTTTCCCATTGCCATTGCCTATGCACATCAGATTTCAGCTTCTTTGGCCTTTTAGTGCGGACTTACACCAGTGACTCTCCAGGGAGCTGTTAGGCTTTCTGTCTCAGGTTGGTGCTACATTCTTGACTCCTCTTAGCTGTGGCTTACTTTTCTTCAGGTAATCAGTCTATGTATAGAACATGTAGCTCCAGGTGTGCTGGGTATTCAGCTCCCCACTTGGACCCGGTTGTACTGGCTAAGGGAAAGCAGAGCATACTACCGCATAGCAGCTGGGTGGGTGTGGGAGATCAGCTCCTTGTTTGGACTTCATGACGCCAGGGAGGAGAAAAAGCGGAGCATTCCACTCATTCTACGTCATTGCCACTGGGTAGGGATGGAAACCCACTTCCCCGCTTGGCCCTGCTCTGGCTTTCTTTCCAAGTTTTAGGATTTTCCTGTTTTCTTTATCTCCAAGGTGTTTTTTAAAAATTACTTTTACTCGTACATGTTTGCACTACAGAATGACTACATTCATTATGATCTGATACATGTACATAACACATCTTGATTCTTTTTACATCCTGTTCCCCTCTGTTCCCCCGCTTCCCATTTGCAAAAGATCTACCAGTTTCCTGTTATCTATCTTTTACTTTGCTCTTTATTTATTCCTTGGGTTACTCATATAAGAGAAACCATGGAATATTTAAACTTGCATGTCTGACTTCTTTAACTTAACATTATGATCTCAAGGTACATTCATTTTCTACAAATGACTCAAATTTGTCCTTCTTCATTGCAGTTATACTCCATTGTGCATTAATACCACATTTTCTTTATCTATTCATTTGTTGATGTACATGTAGCCATTGCCAAGATCTAGCCATTACGAGTTGTGCTGCTATAAACATGGGTATTGATGTGTCAGTGTAATATGATGTCTTTTACTGTTTTGTATTCAAGGTGTTTTGTTTGTTTTAAATAACAGGGAAGATTAAAGAAACAGGATGTTCTATTTTGGCTTGACAGGAGGTTCAGGTACTAGGTACATTTTGCAGGGAATGGTCAATAGAACTTTGATTAGAAAGTTACTCTAGAGGGACTGGGGATATAGCTCAATGGCACAAGTGTCTGCCTGGAAAGTACAAGGTCTTGAGTTCGATTCCCAATCCCCCCCCCAAAAACAAATAATAAAGAAAGTTACTGTAGAAACCTCCCTCTTTGCTCTGTATAAACACACACACACACACACACACACACACACACACACACACACACACACACGGGCCCCAATAATATTTAAGCTACATATAGCAGACACAGATGGGGCAGGGAGCTATTAGGACTGTTTGCCTGTGTGCTAGATATCATTCTTGATGCTTCATGTACATCACTGCACTTATTCCTCAAAGCAAGCCAGTGAAAGATGTTTGTAACTATATTGAAACAGATCCAATAAAACCACAAATGGACTGACGATAGGCTAGATGGATGGACACTCCATAGGGCAAGTGTAAGGAAATGTTAATAGTGGAATCTAGGTGACAAATACATGGGTATTTATTTTAAAACACTTCAAACTTTTGTGTTTGAAAAATTGTATCACAAAATGTAGAGAAATGTAAACAACACAACTTAAACAATTATTATGGCAAGCTTTTAGATTTGTGGAACATGACTGCTTGTAAATTTTTTTTTCTTTTTTGGTGGTACTGGGTACTGGGCTGAGCTACATCTCCAGCCTTTTTATTATTACTGTTGTTATTATTATTATTTGTTTTTTTTTGTTTTTGTTTTTCTTCTGGTACCAGGAATCGAACTCATGACCTTGTGCTTGCCAGGCAGGCACTGTGCCACTGAGCTAAATCCCCAGCCCCAGTTATTATTATTATTTAATAATTTTGTGACAGGATCTCTCTAAGTTGCTTAGGCTGGCTTCAAATTTGTGATCCTTCTGTCTCAGCCCCTCAGAGTGGCTAATGATTTTTGTTTTTTGGAAGTGTCACATATTTAATGCTGAAGGGTTCAAATTAGAATACAAAAATCAACACAAGGTTTCAATATTAAAGACCATAACAATTCTTATCCAAATACAGTGAATATCAAAAACATAAGTGAAGCTTGAGTATAAAAACCTTAAATATATATATTGACAGCAAAATTAGAATTTATTTCTGTGCCAAATAATTATTATTATTATTATTTTGTTGTTGTTTGTTTCCTTCCGGTATCGGGAATCGAAATCACCACCTCACGCTTGCCAGGCAGGTGCTGTGCCGCTGAGCTAAATCCCCAGCCCCCCAAATACTTATTAACTAAAATATTTATAGCTATTTTCAAGGACTACAATGGTAGGTTGTGTTTTCTTTAGTTTTGGATAAAGTTTGCATGTTAGTCTTTGGTCTCAGCATTTCTTTCTACTTAATATATAATTGTTCCAATTTCCAAAACAAATAGTGATCCTTGGTTATCAAATCTAGTATAACTATATGTTTCAATTGTCTTGATACTTGTGATTGGACAGGAATAAGGCCTTAACATATCAGGAAGAACACTGGGAATCCCAGAAGAGAGGGTAGCACCACCAGGGGAAACACTAAAAAGAATTAATAAAAACACTAATAAAATTAATAAAACACTAATAAAAAGAATTATTTATTTAAACACAAATTTAACTCAAAGAGACAAAACACTAAAGCTCTAATCACATTTTAACATAATGCTCTAACATTCAAAACCCTGATGATCCTACATCAGTGGTAAAGAATACTTCCAAGTTCACTGCAGTGCAAAACCTAATAGTGTAATCAAGTAAAGTGTTAATGTTTTCCTTCACTGACACAATTCCTCAGAGACCTTAGTTGAATTTTTTTAACATAGAAAAAGAAAATTTCTTATTTCTTTTGTTCCACAAAGATGCTTCTTTTAAATTTGGTTCCAATACAAAGAGGTAGTTCATGAACAAAGGATTAAAAAAAATAACAATGCTTAGTTGCTTTAAAAAAAAGACTATCAGGCATCAAACCAGTAAAAATTTTTACCCCCCCAAATTTAGAAACATTTGTCATAAACTAACTCCCAATACTTCATTGTTTCAATGGTAATGTAAACATTTACATAATTCCACAAACCAATTTAA